ACCACTGCTGCCAGCAGGGAAGAACCAGGCCCAGAGCAGGGAGCTGTTTGTACCCTCAGCTACTGCGACTTCACCTTCGGGCAGCTCTCAGGGCAGAAGGTCCCTCCCTGGGTCTGTGCCAGAAGCTGAACCAGACCTCAGCAATCACGGGCAAGGATCGCCAGACAACCCCTTCCTTCCTCTGTGACCAACCCAAGATAAGGAAGGCCTTTCTTTGGAACCGCTTTGCTTCTATTTCTGACCAAGGCCAAACTCTGCTCTGATGAAAGGACTGAAGGAAGGACATTTCCAGTACAAAAAAACCCATCAAGATGCAACAATCCATGCAGGATCTGGGACTTACCGGGGAAAATACTTGCAAACCAGCAGGTGCATGTTCTCTGTTTCCTTTCCTTCGATCTTCTCACAAAGCTTTGCCCCGCAGCCGATGTGTTCTGTGTCTGCCCAGACCACCTAAGGCAAAGATCAGGGGTGAAGGTGAGGGGACTGAGTGAAGGCATCCTGTCCCCTGGCCTTGAAGGCTGCTTCATACATCCATTCACATAATTACCACAACCATCTCTGCTCCTCCTTGTTCCCACCCAAGCTGTGAAGAAACATCCAGACTTTGTCTCTCTGCCTGAGACAAGCTGGCACCCAGCTTTGCTGAGCAGCTAAAAGAGGGCTTGTTTCAGAAAAAAGGTCTTCTCCCAAAGGCTGGTCATGGCTGGCACCATGCCCAGGTCCCCCTGTATCATTGTGATTCCCACCTGGTTCCCCATCCCTTTGCAAAGACTTTGGGAGGAGCTGGGGCTCTGGGACAGTGCCTTTCCCACCAGCCCCATCCCTCCAGCTCAGCAGCTTGTACCTGTTTGTAGTTGCCACAAGTCTTCCCAGGCTGACATGTGGATGCTAACAAGCTGTAGAATTTCCTCTCCCCATTCCATTCTGCCACAGCATGTTTGAGGTCCAGGGTTGGGGCCATAGCAAAGAGGTTTTCCTTGTGTCCACCACTCTCCTCGTGCTCCCAGATGCACTTCTCTGCATAGGATTGAGCATCAGCCTCCAGCTCCGTGTCCCAGGTCTGAAAGGAGCTCAGCATCAGCACAGAGAGAGGGACACAGGGCTCTCCAACGTGAACAAGGCACTTACCAAGGACCTCTGGGCTCTCTGGCCACACAGTTTGCCCATTCAGGAGTAAAATTCAAATCCCCACCCAACACAGTCATCAGGAGAGGTCAGGATGGTCAGATCCAGAACAAACCAAACCTTGGCTTATAGGTCAAACAGGAGAAGGTCAGTGCATCAGCACAACTCTCACAACCTCACCTGGAGCACATCCAAATCATCATGGACCGTCCTCAGCTCAGCAAGGAGAAACTGTCACAGTGCTCAGGGTTCTGGCTCTGGCCCCTTTGAGTCTGCAGTCACTAGTCAGACCTCTGCCCAAATTTAGATTTTTGGTTCTTTTGGTCGTTAAGCTCCTGTTTACCAGCCCACAAAGGTTTTACTTCACCTGGGCAACTCCTGAGTCAGGCAAGGTGGTCTTCTCCAAGCACAAGGTGACCCAAAAAGGAAAGGACTCCAACTATCCATGACAAAACACTTGTCTTTCTCCACATGATTTGCAAACAGTGAGGACAAATCATGTGGTGGAAGATAAAACATGATATCCAAATTTTAGTCAACAGTCCGTAGAAGACAAAAGGTAGCACCAGTTCTAGAGCTTGTTTGTTCTCCCACTGCAGCCACCCATGATGTGGGACATGATTCGGTTTCCCTGAGCAAAACAGGGGATCCCTCACCTCCAAGGCAGCCCTGCACAAGGCATGGTGAGGATTAGGAGTGGGATGGATAGCCCAAAAAGCTGAAAGACCTGGGGGTCATGTTTGAAGTTGATGCAAACACAAAGCATCAGCAGGATTCCCCCTCCAGCTCCTGCAAATGGCCATGGCAACATCTCCAGCTCATGGCAC